AAATCGTTTCACTACCTATCTCAAAAGGTAATTTTATAAGGAATCTTAAAAGAATCATAAACCTAAACTTTTATATATGACAAACAATCAAAATGACCTTTACTTTAAATCCTCAGGGTGCTTAACCATTCATCAACATTTTTTATATTAGGAAGCTGAGGGCAGAAATGTGTACAAGGAATTAATCATCATCTTTGATTACAAACCAATTCTGGCAAGAAAGACATGACAGCCAATAATATTTAGCCTACTTTGTTCTTGTTTCCTGATCTTAATGAGTTCATCACTCAACTATGTGTCTTACTAAACTTTAGATTGTTTCCCAAGATTTTTCACTTCAATGTTATTAGCAAAAACATCTTAATATAACCTTAAGTCCTATTTTAAAGTTTTGTTTTATATATGATGCACACTGAAAGCTGAGCATATCTCTCAGCAATAATATTTAAAGAACTTGAGGTAACTCAGCTTCTGGAACTCAGTTGTTTTTCTTATACATTAACCTAAGTCGTATATGACTCCTCAAGAGAAACTAGCAATCTGGCATTTCCTTGTTCTGTTTTTCTTTCCTCTGCAGCCCTAGCTTTATAAGGGGTGGAGTCAACATCAAAGCTTTCTTTACCTATATTAATTTCCCACTAAGCTAACCTCTTTCATAATTCCTTGTTATATTTATTAAAGATTCTCAATCATCAAAATTCTTGTTAAACTAGCATTATTTTTGTATAAAATCATTATTTCAGTTAACTAGTACAGCTTAAGAGGAGACAATCTTCATAATAATCCACGGGTAAAAATGCCAGTAGAATGGAATATTTTTAAAAGATAATCATATCACATTGGGGCAGTGGGGATTTTCCCACATCCATGCACACTATGCCAGATACCAGAGAAAAATGATGGAAGCAAACATGTAAAGACACAGCAGTAACAAGAGACATTCTTGCCTATCCAAGAGTTACTCATCAGGGTTTTATTTCCTGATGCACCAGTCCCCTGACGTCCATTGTCATTTGCTGCTCCCCTGACATGGCCATTGGCACTTGCCCTTATAGTAACGCTGTTGAGTAAAGAGCAATGGCAGTAGCCTGTCTTGTTTTAAGTAAGTCTTGGGTCTCTCTGACCAGTAACTTGCAGAGTATCTCATGACTCACATTGAGAGTTTTGTTTACTAACACATATCTTCTGGGAACAGTATTGTCCACCTATGCTGGGCACCTCAATTCAAACACATTAAAAAAATATAAATTTTAAACTAGCTTATAAATTACTGTGTTTTCATATGACTTTCTCATATTTTCCTAGTTTTGGTTAACCCATTCTTTTACTCTTCTCTCTCCCAATCCCTTCACCCTTATCCAGATTTAAAACTAACATATTTTTAATTCTGTTAGTATATTTTTCATTTCATAATTTATGTTTGGTTCTATTTACAGTTTCTACATTTTCTTTCATATAATTTACCTATGCATCGCTTCCCTATAATTTTTTCTTTGTGGTATCCTAATGTGGGATTCCCCTCTGCATGCTGTGAATACCATTGGTTAATAAAGAAATTGTCTTGGGCCTGCACTGGAAATAGAGGTAGGCCAGGAAAACTAAACCGAATGCTGGGAGAAAGAAGGAGGAGTTAGAGAGAAGCCATGGAGCTGCTGCCAAAGACAGATGCCGAACCTCGCCAGTAAGCTATAACTACATGGCCATACACAGATTAATGGAAATACATTAAATTAAGATGTAAAAGCTAGTCAATAAGAAGTTTAGAGCAAATAGGCCAAACAGTGATTTTACCAATAGAGTTACTGTGTGGTTATTTCAGGAGTCTGGGTGGCCAGAAAACAAACAAGCAACCTCTTACAACAGTATCCTTGAACATCTTTTATGATTAGTTTTAAAAATCCTTTTCAAAGATCTGAAGACATCTCAGTAAGCCAATCACCTGCCATGCTAGCAGTGAGATCAGACTGATACTTAAAATCCCTAGAGGCCTGGCCCCAGCTCCAGACTGGCCTTGCCACATTCAACCCTGAGCCAGGACACAGAAATAGTTTCCATTTTTTATTTCATTAGGGCCTCTGAGGAAGTCTTGGATTGGTCTATGTCTCAACAGTATGGGATGTTTCCTCTTACGTCTTCTGTAGGATGAAGCAAGACAGAGCTGTATCAGTTGCCTACCCTCTTCTCTGTAATGGATCTTGGTTTAAATTGGCTCTGGCTTCAACTTTCCAGCTAGTCCCCAGACTTCTCACAAAGGTGCTCTGGTCTGTATGGCAATATTTAAAACAGTGCCTCTGTGGGAAGGAGGGCTTGTAGCTTCCTGGTGAGCAACTCTGTTCATGTAACAATTCCTTTTTTTTTTAGCCTGAAGAAGATTTTTTTTATCATATTTCAACTTAATTATAATATTTTCACCTTCTGGAATATAATTATTACTTTATCACATTTGTTTTCACATGAAGGAGCATCATTGCTTTTGTTTTGCTCCCATTATTAACCTGCAATGGCTTGATATTAAAATAAACTTCTAGTTAAAACCTTCTCATTAATTTTTCTTGAAACATCCAAGATTACTTTCTTTATTTCCACACTCTAAAATCATGGAATATTTATAATCATTCACCATTTGACTTACTTAGTTTTAATGCCACAGTGTTTGTATATAATAGTAATCTCTCTCACACACATTTTCTGTTTTCTCCCTGCCTATATATTTTATTATGACAAGATCAATGCAGTCCTGAATTCTGATGTATCTTGTGGTTAAAAAAAAATTGTCCTGGAAATTGGGTGATTAAAGGTCATTATTAACACAGCTAAACTTTCCAGGAGTGCGCTGTTAGGAGAGTATATTTTAGTATCTGTACTATGATAGCTATATAACCGTGCAGTAGTTATTGTTTCTGACATTGTGTAACCAGCAAGTGGTCAGTTTGCTTCCCACTCATGTGGACAAATGATGCTCATCTCTGGTTGTTTTTTCCACTTAGTTCACACTTTGTAGAACAGAGGTATTTGTGAGCATCTTTATCAGAAATCATCTCACCTCAAACCTGCTGTTCTTAGCAGAGCTACTGTGGACTTCTTGTAGCCACAGATGGTTTCAGAACTTACAGCTAAAGTTCAGTCTCCTCACAGCATCATGTGAACCTTCTGCTTAGAGCATCAAACTTCTCTTCAATTCATTGGTGTCTCCTATTCATCCCAACAGCTTTCATTAGCAGCATTGCTTATTCAAGTGTTTGCCATGAAAGAACTTAATACTTGGCATGTTTATTCACACGTTTCCCATGTAAAGCTAAACTATCTTGACAAAGAAAGGAGTTAATATGGCAAGAACAGGCACTGTTAACAAATTTTCAGGTGATTCTTATGTATAATAAGACTTGAGAACTTTATAAAATATACAATGAAATTTCTACATGCTAGATTGAATAATTTTCTAGAACTGTTTAGAGTAACTCAAGTTGCACAACTCTGGAAAGTCTTGCACACTTGTTGAAATCTTAGGCCCAGATGGCTAATGTTGCAGATCCTTGTGTGTGGTGTTGAGTGAAATCACTGTCATCAAATAGTGACAGCTCAGGAGGTTTCATTGTGTCTTGAGTGAGACCTTTTGCAGGCTTCCTCTCACTTTGTAATCATAATTGTCTTTGGGAATGAATGTGCTCCCATACTGTGAATATACATCTCCTGTCTTCTGGAACGCACAACCAAGAGACTGCTGCCACTGCTGTGTAATTGTGTGCACCTGGTACAATTCTACTCTGACCACAGAAAGTGATTTTAAGGAAATCATTGCTTTTCTTCTTCACCTGTAATCTGCAAATGTCTGACCTGGAATTTTTAGTCTTGTTTTAAGTCTCTAGGCCTGAAAAAAACCTTGGAGGAGTTAGCACATTCTATAAACCTAAGTCCTCCAGTATCAGTAGCTCTGACAGATAACATCATTTCAGTCAGGTGAATATTTTTTATATCTATGAGAACCTTCAGGACAATGCTGAAAGGCACATGTGGCTCCCTCCTCAGATCACTATATATTGTTTCTATGTATATATCTATGTATCTATGCATATCTATCTATCTATCTATCTATCTATCTATCTATCTGCCTACTTTTTTATCATCTATCTATGTCATCATGTGTCTACCTCATCATGTATCTCTCCATATCTATCTATCTATCTATCTATCTATCTATCTATCTATCTATCTATCATCTATCTATTATGTATGTATGTATCTATATATTTATTAATCATCTATCAATCACAAAATATCTTATATCATCTCCCAGGAGTTTAGTGGGGAGTGATTCCTTAAATATCAATTCAAGATTGGGTGGTTGTAGGCAGAGTTTTTCTGTAGTGCAGCCACTCTCAAATAAACACACTGAGGTTTATATTATATTGTAAATGCTCAGCCAACAGCTCAGCCTTATTACTAACTAGTTCTTCCGTGTTCCTTATGTGCACTCTCCCGTGTGGTGGCGTATTTATTAACATGGCAGATTATCTTCTGCTTCCTCTGCATCTGGCTGGCGACTCCAGACTCACCATTTTTCCTTCCAGCATTCTCCACGTCAGACTCTCCTGCCTAAACTTATTCTGTTCAGCTTCCTCAATAAACCAATCACAGTGAAATACATTCACATAGAGTAAAGGAATATTCTACAGTAGGTAGTCATTTACTCTGACCTTAATTCTGAGGAAATAACTGAGAACAGATGGTTAAAGAATGAAAGACAAAAAGTCTTTTCCAGAATTTTCTCAGTTTTCTCAAAATGCCTACCATCTTTCTGCTTGAAAGATAAGAACATGCAAACTGTGTGAGCATAATGGACACCAAATTCGGTCACAGTGGAGAAACTCTCAACTGCAAGTGTGTGTGGGTGTGGATGCAGACAGAAGAGCGTTCACAGCGGATTTCCTTTTGTTCATTTGGCCGCACAGAGTTTTGAGTTTCACCTCGTCCAGAAGTCAGTGTCACATCTTCCACCTGCAATGGACACATCCGTGGTTTACGCTGACTTAAGTGTAGCCAGGACCCGAGTGCTTAGCCATGCATCACCTCCGTCTCTTCCCCCAGGTAAGAGGCTTTATTTCTCATTTCAGTGCTTGAATATAGTCTAGAGTTATGGTTCCCATTAAATTGCAGTTTTAAATGATTGCTTTGGAAAGGTAAAAGGTACTTTTACTCCTCAGGTAAGAGTACTTGTTGCACAAACCTGACAATTCCCAATATCTTTGGTAGAAAGAGAATCACCTGCTGAAAGTTGTTCTTTCAACTCTACACCTAGTGCGGCATGCACACACTGCAGTCTTATAGGCACATAAACACAGACACTCACACGCTCACACAGTCACATACTTATCACATGCTCAAAAATATGTCAAATAATCACAACTTTAGAGAGAAAAACTTCAATGCAATTTTATTCAAGGAGTTCATGAAATGTAACAGGGCTATTCAGCTTCACTTAAAAGACTCTGAATAAGTAATGTTTTGCATAGATGATCAGAAAAATACTTTTAGAGACATTGCGGACTTGCTGTAATGTATCTTGTTCATTCCAGATCCTGGTACAGAGCACAGGCACTTTGATTCAACTCTAATCCAGTTGCACACCTAGTAATTAACATTGGGCACAACAGCCCTTTTCTCTTCCATAGAGTTTAGTAATCTGAGTGAAAGAAACATTTAAGACTGAGGGAATACTCAAAAGGATGACATGAGACGAGGGTGTGTAAAAAGTGACCCGAGGCTGGGGGAGAAAATGTGTCTAAAATTGTCACAAGACCATATTCTTTGCCTTACAGAAGCTTCTTAGTTTCAGGAAGTCCCATTTATTGATTGTTGGTCTCAGAGTCTGTGCTATTGGTGTTATATTTAGGAAGTGGTTTCCTGTGCCAGTGGATTCAAAGCTATTTCCTACTTTCTCTTTGTTCAATTTCAGTGTATCTGGATTTATGTTGAGGTCTTTGATACACTTGGACTTGAGTTTTGTGCATGGGGATAGATATGGTTCTATTTGTCTTCTTTTACATGTCGACATCCAGTTATGTTAGCACCATTTTTTGAAGGAACTTTCTTTTATCCATTGTATGGTTTTGGTTTCTTTGTCAAAAATCGGGTATTTATAGGCTGGGCGATGATGTCGCATGCTTTTAATCTCAGCACTTGGGAGGCAGAGGCAGGCGGATCTCTGGGAGTTCGAGACCAGCCTGGTCTACAGAGCTAGTTCCAGGATAGGCTCCAAAGCCACAGAGAAACCCTGTCTCGAAAAACCAAAAAATAAATAAATAAATAAATAAATAAATCGGGTATTTATAGGTGTGTGGATCAGTATTAGGGTCTTTAGTTTTCTGATATTTTCTTCAATTTCTTTTTAAAGTTCTTTTACTTCTTTGGATTCAGTTATCACAAGATATTTTATGCTATTTGTGGTTATTATCAAGGGGACTGTTTCTCCGATTTTTTTCTCAGACCATTTATCTTTTGTATATAGGAGGGCTATTGATTTTTTTGAGGTAATCTTGTATCCTGCCACATTACTGAAGCTGTTTATCAGCTATAGGAGGTCCCTGGCTGTATTGGGGGTCACTTATGCATACTCTCCTATCATCTGCAAACAGTGAAAGATTGACTTCTTCCCTTCTAATTTGTTTTCTCTTAATCTCCTTTTGTTATTACAGGAGAAAAAGAAATTATTCCCCGCAACTCACATACATTCATGTACAAGCAAGCTGCTACAGATTAACAGAGTGTAAGCAAGCAATGTATTCTTGACAGACAGCTCTTTTGCTGGCTGTTTGCATTTTGTGGTTACAAAGAAAGGAATGATCACTTTATTATTTATGAAAAAACTTAAAAGAATCACAAATCCAAACTTTCATTTATGAAAAACAATCATCTCTCTTAAAATCCCTAGGGTACATACCCATTCATTAACAGGTTTTTTTTTTTTTAAATCAGGAAGCTGAGGGCAGAAATGGGTATGAGAAATTGAGCATTTCCTTTGTTCACCAACCCACATCTGATCAAGAAAGGCGCATTAACCAGTGATATCATTGTTTTTATTTCCTGATCTCAATGAGTTCCTTGTACGACTATTAGAACTGTACTTTTCCAAACTTAAAATTGTTCCCCAAGATCGGCTACCACAAAGTCATTAACAAAAAACATCTTAAACTAACCTTGTCATTATTTAAAGCTTGGTTTTAGCTATGATGCACACCAAAACCCATTAACACATCTCTCAACATTAATATTTAAAGACTTGTGCTAGCCTAACTTCTAGGAATCAATTATTTTCCTTAATCACTAACCTAGGCTACAGACTATAGGGCTCCTCAAGAGAAATTCATGAGTACTAGCTACATGGCACTACCTTGGTTCTATTTTCTATCCTCTTCAGCTCCTGCTTTATCAATGGGGCAAGGACAACACTATATCCTGCCATTTTCTATATAAATTTTCCCATTAAACTAACCTCTATCACAATACCTTACTATATTTATTGAAAATCCCAATCATCAAAATTCTATTTAAAATGACACTATTATTGTATAAAATCATTACTTCTGTGAAACAATACAGCTTAAAAGGCAATCATCTTCATAATAATCCGCAGGTAAAAATGCCCACTAGAACAGGATATGTCTGTGACATAATCACAATACATTAAATGCAGTGGTGATCCTCCCAAACCCATTCACAGCATGACAGATACCAGATAAAAATGTCAGTGCAAACACATAAAGGCACAGAAGTAGCAAAATACATTCTGGGGACAAAGCCCCCCGGGCCTTGACTATCAGAGATTTATCCATCAGTGCCTTGCATTCCGATGGGTGGATTCCCGAAATTAATTGCCACCTGCTGCTCTTTGACATGGCCACTGATAGGTTAGAAACTATTAAATTAAAAAAAGTGAAAATCAGGAAATCATCTTAGAGTCATCAAATCTGCTTCATTATCATCTTTACAATGGGTCAGGGGAAAGAAGAGGCTTTGATACTGCTGGGAGGATTCCAGTGAGCAGGTGTGATAGGAAGCATCATACTTTTCTTTTCCTTGTGTTCAAGCCTAGCAAAAGGATGGGAATGGGCCTTTTGAAGTGGGTGTAAGAAAATGAACATTGAAAAAGACAATGAGATTTCCTCAACATTACTAGCCATGATCCCAATCCAAGAGACTAGAAAGTTTGTCTGCCCTGATTGTGATTATTTTTCTACATACCATCAACTTGAATAGAAATCTAAAGGACAAAAGCAGTAGAATAAAGGTAGAACAAAGCCTGTGAAGAGAAAATAACTGACCAGGTAGTGAAAGAAATGAAACAGCCTGGATCCATTAGCTACACAGCTCAAAGTGTGGGAAATTCACAGCAAGGTGATTAAATCTCCCAGTAACGACACAAAAACAGAAAGAGGGACATAGGCAGTGACTTGCTTTGTGGTCACATGATCAAAGGTTAGCCTTGATAGTAGGATGGATAAAATTTGTACAGAGTTCATTCATTCACTCAGAAATAAGTATCTGCTAAGTGTCAGTAATTTTCTAGATGAAGATTCAGCTGTAAACAAACATGAACATCTTTTCTTTATAGAGTCTATATGACTTTGTTTATGTGCAATTATTGGACACTTGTCTCAGAGACTGTGTGATGCTTAATGCCAGAAAGAAAAACATTTACATGGAAATTAAGATTTTGCCTTTAGAGATGGCATCATGTGAAGTACAGTGATCATGGCAGGGCTTCCTGGGAGATGATGCTGGAAGTCTCTGGGGACCAAAACTGAGTATCTGAGAGATGAGACTTGGAGGAAGCTAGACTAGCCAATGAAAAGGGAGAACATTTATGTGGTGCTGTCAGGGAACATGCATGCCTGATGAAGTGTGGAGATTGTCAGGAGGAATATGATCAGTGTAAATGGATTTGGAAAACATTCCATAGGATCAAATAACCATGAAGTGGAAGCCATTGAAATGTCTGGAACAGTGAAGGTGACTTATTCTGTGGATAATAAACATACAAACAAATGAACAAAGAGCCTGAAGCTGAAACTTCCACGTAACAAAAGTTCACATGGTCTTTTAAAGGTCTATCACTCATTCTAATATCATACAGAAGAGATCAAACAGGGATAGAAGTTTATACAAGTCCTTATTCCTTAGTGTGAAAGAATAACAATTTTAAAAACCACCCAAATAATCCTTCTACTTTTAGCTTAAAAAAACACTTTTGTGTGTGTGTGTGTGTGTGTGTGTGTGTGTGTGTGTAGGTGTGTAGGTGTGTGTTGGGGGGAGTGAATTACTGTATGTTGAATAGTTCTTTGTTCAAGGTACTGTGCTTTGGAATTTATTAGAATTGTTTCATAAATTCTGAAAGTTCTTAAAGTAGATATTGTCCAGACATTTTATGGATGAGGAAATTTCTGGTTTATGACAGCTTAACGTATTGTCCTCAGTATTGTATTGTGTTGCATTATAAATTTGAAATACGAATGTTCTGAATATTAGACTTTAGTAAAAACCATAAAAATAGTGACTGTACTAAGATAATTCAATTATATATAAGAATTAATAATTTTGGAGGTGGAAAGATTGAGAAAAAATATATATGTATATATAATGAGAAACATGACTTGTTAAACTTATTTACTGGGTTCAGTCCCTCTGCCTCTTTCTAGTATTCAGGAAAAATTCTAGACTGATATAAATACACTGATCTTCTCATATTTGTGGTGTCTTTGAGGTCTTGAAGCTTCTCTAGTATCTGCTTCTGTCTCCTTATGAAGTCACACAGCATGACTTACACAGCAGAAATGACATTCCATTATCTCATTTCAAAGTTCAGTGTCCTGTGTTTCCTTCCGTGACAGTCTTGTTCTACTTTGACCACACAGCATTGCTCACTGTCCACAGATTATTGCTTATAAAACCTCTTCTTTTTTTTTTTTTTTGATTTTTCGAGACAGGTTTTCTCCGTAGCTTTTTGGTTCCTGTCCTGGAACTAGCTCTTATAAACCAGGCTGGCCTCGAACTCACAGAAATCCGCCTGCCTCTGCCTCCCGAGTGCTGGGATTAAAGGCGTGCGCCACCACCGCCAGGCATAAAACCTCTTCTTATGATATTAAGTCTCTTCTATAAAATGTAGTATTTGCACAGGAGCTATGTACATATCCCTTTATGCTTTAGATAATCTCCATATTCCCTACAGTGTCTAAGATGATCTCATTGCCTTGAAATAGTTGTTCTTTTTTTTTTTTGAAATAGTTGTTCTTATTTGTCTAGAGGATATGATGGGGAACGTTCGTATAGGTTCAATAGATTTTTATGTGTGAAAAGTTTTCCTTAGCAGTGAACATGAATTACTGTGTCTATCGATATGTGTAAGGGGAGTTGTCTCCTATCTCCTGGGAACACTTCTACTCATTCTGCCTTTTTTGTTTTTCTCAAAACACTTAAAATGATTCCTGCTAACTGGGAAGAGGGACAGAGGAGGCCAGCCTCCAGCATCACGGGGCTCTGAGGGAATCCACAGATATTTTTATCTGTGGTTGTAAGGGAAAAGACACTCACTTTCTTGATGATTTCTTTCTTCTGCATTCTTTATTCTGTGTTCTGTATTCTCTTTTCTTATCTCTATGTTTCTTCTTTTTCTTTTGGTGGTTTTGTCTTAACCCTTTGTTCTTCCTTGTTCTCATTCTTGTTTTCCTTCTTTGTTCTTGTGTATTTGCTCTTTATTTTTCCTCTAAAGCTTATATACCCCAACAAAATCTTTCAGGCAATATAAAAATTTTATAATGTAGTTACATTCTAGTTTTTAAATGAATGATTACAATGAATACAAGTAAAAGGCAGCATGTGTTCCATATCACTTAACATAATTAAACATTTGATGCATTACAGGTGAAAAATAAGTTTTCCCAAGAACCCAGATACATTATCCTAAGCTTCTGTGATTCCTCAATAGCAACTTATGTGCTATAGCTGTGTGACGCTTCCTTCTTTTATTTTTTAATATTCTACAGTATCAGGTTTATCAGAGGCAAGACAATATTTTATCCTACTTTTACCTGTATTAATTTTTCCACTAAACTAAGCTCTATCTTAATTTCTTACTATATTTATTAAAAACCCTCAATCATCAGAATCCTATTTAAACTAACAATATTATTGTATTGAGTCATTGATTCAGTTAAACAGTACAGTTTAAGAGGAAATCATCTCAATAATAATCTACAAGTAAAAATGACCAGTAAAACAGGATATTTCCATGAGATAAGCACACTAAATTACAGGCAGTGGGGATCTCCCCACACCCATTCATAGCAAGCCAGATTCCAGAGAAAGATAACAGCAGCAAACATATAAAGGCACAGCAGAAACAAAATACATTCTGAAGTCTGTGGTTTCTGGGCTTTGACTATTAGAGATTCACTCATCAGGGATTCTCCTCCTGGGGTGCTAACACTTCGAACTTCAGTCTCCATCTGCTGCTCCTCTGATATGGCCAGAATCAAGTGATTTAACTCATTCAATGATTGTTTGTCAGCATCCTAAAACTGCTTTATAGTCATAAGAGCACTAGAGTTTGTCTGCAGTCATACAAATCAGCCACCAAAAATAATGAAAAAAAGAAAGAAGAGAAAGGAAAAAAAAGAAGAAAGAGTAGAAAAAAACATATGGGTAACTCTTGACCACATAATGAGAATAAGAAAACATTTTAGTACATCTGGCTTCAAATTTTAACATGTAACTCAAAGCATGTCATCAATTACACCAAGAAATATTTAAAAAATAGAAAACTAACAAAACAAAAAAATCTGTAGCTGATGGAGGAAGGTCATTGGTTAAAAAATAAAGAAAATGCTTGGCCCTCATAGGTTAAAACATAGGTGGGAGGAGTAAACAGAACGGAATGCTGGGAGGAAGAGGAAGTGGGCTCAGAGGCCATGCTCCCCTCTCCCAGGCAGACGCAATGAAGCAAGCCGCCAGGTCAGACATGCTGAATCTTTCCCTGTAAGACTGGTGCTACACAGATTATTAGAGATGGGCTGATCGGGATATGAGAATTAGCCAGTAAGGGCTAGATATAATGGGCCAAGCAATGTTTAAAAGAATACAATTTGTGTCTTGTTATTTCGGGGCATAAGCTAGCAGGCGACCAGGAGCTGGGACGGCAGGAATGCAACCAGCAGCTCCTACTACATGTAGCTATTGAAATTATGAATTCCTAACCATGAATGGTAAGGCACAGCTATAATTTTATTACTTGAGAAATGGAAACAGGAGTATCAGGAGCTCAAGGTCATCCTTAACCACAGAGGGAGTTGAGGTCTAGCCCAAGGTACAAGAAATCGAACCTGAGAAAAAAAACCAACCGAAACAAAAAGTGAGAGGAATGCTTTGCTTAGTACAGTATTTTTTTCTAATAATTAAATCTATAAAATCATTCATAAGATGGTAATGCATGGAACTTTTAGAAGCTAAATCAGAGCAGAGGGAGAATTGCGATTAATTAGACATGTAAGATCCATCTAGTATTTCTGCTTATTACCTTTATAAACACAACTGTTATTGTTTTCCATATCTAATCCAATTTTTAAAAACAGTTTACCATAGAGTTAGTCTCAATGTGGTACATGATGCCCACATTTCAAATATTAATACATTTTACTATCTAATAAACATAAGATATCTATTGTTGATAGTTACCAAAGAAAGCAGAGAGGTCAAACCTGGTGTCTGGGCAGTGCAATGTGGTAGATGTAGTGTATGTCATGCTACAGCACAGAACCCTTATCTGCTATAGACACAGTGTATGTCATGTTACAGCACAGTACCCTTATCTGCTATAGACACAGTGTACGCCATGTTACAGCACAGAACCCTTATCTGCTATAGACACAGTGTATGTCATGTTACAGCACAGAACCCTTATCTGCTATAGACACAGTGTATGTCATGCTACAGCACAGAACCCTTATCTGCTATAGACACAGTGTACGCCATGTTACAGCACAGAACCCTTATCTGCTATAGACACAGTGTATGTCATGTTACAGCACAGAACCCTTATCTGCTATAGACACAGTGTATGTCATGTTACAGCACAGAACCCTTATCTGCTATAGACACAGTGTATGTCATGCTACAGCACAGAACCCTTATCTGCTATAGACACAGTGTACGCCATGTTACAGCACAGAACCCTTATCTGCTATAGACACAGTGTATGTCATGTTACAGCACAGAACCCTTATCTGCTATAGACACAGTGTATGTCATGTTACAGCACAGTACCCTTATCTGCTATAGACACAGTGTATGTCATGTTACAGCACAGTACCCCTTATCTGCTATAGACACAGTGTATGTCATGTTACAGCACAGTACCCTTATCTGCTATAGACACAGTGTATGTCATGTTACAGCACAGTACCCCTTATCTGCTATACACACAGTGTATGTCATGTTACAGCACAGTATCCCTTATCTTTTGTCATGTTACAGCACAGAACCCTTATCTGCTACAGACACAGTGTATGTCATGTTACAGCACAGTACCCTTATCTGCTATAGGCACAGTGTTTTTGCCATTTCAGAGTCTCTAGCTTCTGTTACTTGCATTCAACAGCAGTCTTAAACCATTAGCTATAAAATTATAGGAATAAATATTTCAATGTTTTAAGTTGGACACTACCCTGGCCAGAAACAATGAAATCTTGCAATCTAGGTTAAGAAGTGAATTACTAGCAACCAGTGCTTGTGTCCCAGCAACACTCACTTGCTCAGTGATGAACACAAATTGGAAAAGTAGTGATATCACCAGAACAATCATCCCAAAGAGAAGCCATAATGCATTATTTTAAGTAAAAGTTAATAGTACAAAGATCTCTACAGTACTCCACTTAGCAAAAAAAAAAAAAGTTTTCACTGTCACACATCAAATTAGCAAATTGTAAAATCTGTAGTCACCAGATGTAGTATGTGCTTAGTTAAGATGGAAAACTGACCCTTCCACACTCCATGTGAGTGTGTGAGTGTGTGTGTGTGTGTGTTTGTGTGTGTGTGTGTGTGTGTGTGTAAAATACTGTGCACAGAATGCAGCATTAAATTCAGTTCAATCAGTACACACGGAGTTTTGGAAATATTACTTGTAGGTAACAGAGGGCTTAGGTAACCACCTCTGACATTTATCTCAGATGGACCCAAGTGGACGATTTAACTAGTATATTCTTTGCACTTCTTAGATGCCTGTCAGTGCCCACGCTGGCATCGGCTGGCACTGAAACTCAGCTGTGCTGGACTGATCCTTCTTGTCTTGATTCTGACTGGACTCGGTATTTCAAGTATGTGAGGCAAGCCCTTTAGCTTTATAATTTCCCCCAATACGTATTAGTTTTATTCATAGCATTTGCCCTCTTTGAGCCTAGGGCAAGGTCAATTGCATGTAATGTTATAGGGCAATATCCCATGTCCACTGCAGAAATTTAACATTCTTCAATTCTTCTTACTTTTTTGAAAGCTGTTATAGGATATAGCACATGTGCATCTTGAATATAAAAAGTAAAAGTCAAATTATGAAAAAGATGACAATAACAAAAAAGCTAAAGAAAACCCATATTTAGCTTATTAAATGCTTGATAAAACTTTTCTTGTAATGGATGTGATTGAAGACGAGCAAACCCACAGATTGACTTGTCAATCAATAATATGTAACCTCATCACTGTTTGAATTTACATGTTCTGTGTTTTTCATGTGATATGTCCTGTCTCCAAATTTCTCCCTTAATGCAGTGGGTCAGTATTATCCTCAATCCAGATGTCCAGGTGAAATAACTTGATTCCTGAAATAAGAAATAAAACAAGCTGGGTGTGATAACACATGCCTCTAATCCCATCAATTGGGAGTCAGGTGGATCTCTATGAGTCTGAGGTCAGCCTGGACTACATAGAGAGTTCCAGCACAGTCAGGGCTAGACACAGAGAAACCTCTCTCAACTCCCCCACCAAAACAAAGAAAGAAAAAAAGAGCACACTCATTCCACCATTCATTTCAGCATTTAATCCTCTCTATATGCATCTTTATTTACTAGTGGGATTCTTAGTGAAAAAAGCACCAATAGAAAAATGTGGAGTGGCTGCTCAAGAGATCATGGCTGAACCAACAGGTAATTGTGTGGCTTGAATTTCCTGATAATAAGAGGTGATTATTGACAGCAAATGTGAGTAAACTCAGTTGAAGTTCAAAACAGCCTTCAATGAAGATGCTGTATCACCTTTGATGTCTGAGAAGAACATAAAACCATTAGGAACTTGCAGGGAGTCACAGGGTTTGTAAGTGTTGGTACTGGAAACTGCACTGAAGCTGTGTGACCTTGACATTTATGCTCTTATATGCCTGTCCATGCTTCCTCAGGTTGCTGGTACACAGAATCTTAATAGGCAAATATCAAGTTAAAAAGTGAAATAGTTGATTATTTTAGCAAACATGTTAGACAGTTTACTTTGTCTGAAGTAAATTAGTAGAAATAAAACATAAAATTAATCCTGTGTCATTAATTATGATTCATTGACATATGACAGCATTAGCCTTGTTCCAGCAATTGCTAAATGAAACAATTCCTGTGTGGAGCTGATTATGGTGCAGCAGAAACAGGGCAGAAATAAACATGTCTTCTTTCTTACTCTAGGGAGATCAGCCATTCCAACATGCCCAAAAGATTGGCAGCCATACCGGGATAAATGCTTATTTATTTCTCAAATTTCCAGACCTTGGTCTGAAGGTCTATCTGACTGCTCTGTGAGAGGAGGCACTTTGCTGCTCATTGAAGATCAAGAAGAATTGGTAAATTGATAATAACATTGCTCAGTTTAGAACATAACACTTTCTTGACGCTTTGATGACATGTCTGAACTTTAACCAATGGTCTATGTTGAGGAAGTGAAGACTTGGATTTTAAACAGTTTAAAACCTAGATGTAGTGGGGAGGGCGTTGGACTTTCCAAAGGGCAGGGTGCCTTGCCTTCTGTTAAGATTGGAGGGGGATAGGAAGGAGAGAGTATGGAGGGAGTGAGAGGGGAGGGGGAGGAGGGGAGGAAGTGGAAATTTGGATTGGTATTTCTTTAAAGTAATAAAAAGTAATGGAATAAATCAATTAAAAGTAGAAATATATAGAGATCAGTTTTACAGAGGAGAAAATTATGCCAGTGGGGAGCTAGTATGGGATTAAAACAGGAGTAATAGTGTTTTAGAAGGTTGGTAGAAGAATGTGTGTCATAAATAAGTAGACTGAAGATTAAGTCTTCCACTATGTTTTGGTTATAGAGATACTTCCAGAATTTCTCAAAGATAGAAGGACATCAGTTTTTTATTGGACTAAAATATATACAAGTGGAGCGGATCTGGAAGTGGACAAATGGTTCTACTTTAAATCCTGATCTGTAAGTATTAAACAAGGTAATTTAAATATTCAATTCACCCTCATTTTTACTGAAAATTGAATTTTGTAATTTTAATTTAGTGTATAAACTCTTGAGATTGTTGAAATAGACTGAAAAGACAATTTCAGAATTAGTTGCAAAGTTTCATGTACAAGTAGATAGAAACCCTTTATAATAATATGTGTATATTTAATTACAATGGAATTTTAAAAGACAGGACGTAGACTAACTTTTTACTGTTAGAGATAAAATAGTTTTAAATGTTTTTGGGGGAACATATAGAATTTCTTTTTCTCTTTCTTTTTTCACACACACACTTTCTTAGAAATTTAAAAACATATTTATTTATTTTATTTTCTGTGTGTGTTCTTGAGTGTATGGATAGATGTATACCATGTTCATGCAGGAGTTCACAGTAGTCAGAAAAAGGCAGTAGATTTCTTGGAACTGGAGTTGGAGATGGTTGTGAGCTACCATATGTGTGCCAAAACTTGAACCTGAGCCCCCTACAAGAATAGTAAACACACGTAGGCACTACGTCATTTCTCTACCCATACACAGCAATAATTCAGTGGTACTTTAGAACTGTGGTAACAAAGATGCACCAGAGTGTGTCATGAAGTTACTTTCTCTAGGCAGAATGTCTCAGTATAGACATGGCTGTTTCAAAATTATTTTACACATAATAATGATTAATTTTTCTGTCTTTGTTTTTGTGACGATTTTTGTGTGCAATTGTGCTATAATGTAAAATGCTTACCTAGTTTTGATTCATAGTAAAAAATGTGATGATAAGTGAAGATAACCATGTCAGGCAGAGGATGTAGCTCACCTGCTGTGTGATTTCACTCTGATAAACGGATGCTCTGATTATATGGCAGTGAGCAGGTAAATTTGGCGTCTGACGGGCTACAATAGAGTGTCAGTCAATTTGGCTTTCGTTTCATCTAAACTGAGCAAATGGTTATGCCTAAAAGTTCTACCTGTGTAAATATCACAGTTCAGTCCACAGAACCCATATAAAAAGTCAAACATAGAAGTCCACGTCTGTATCATAGCACTCCTGCAGAGAGATGGGAGGTATAGACAAGAGAGTCACCTAGAAATGCCTGGGCCAGTGAGCCTGGAGCACACAGGACAGTGGTGGAAACAAGGTAGAAAGGGGGGTTCCCTCACAATTTTCCTCTCACTTCTACACAAACTTTGACCCTTCCATTCTCCCTCCCTTCCCGAACTCTCTTTCACACATCCATGAAGTAAGTATTTACTCTAACACTCTGGGCCCTTGTTTTCAGGTTAGGAAACAAGAGGAAAGTTAAAATTTTACAAGCAGGATTGTTTTGGGATTATTATTTGAGATAAGGTTAGAACTCTCACTGTAAGTCTGGCTGGGGTAGTCCTGGCAATCCAACAAATGCTTTTTGAAAAGAAATCACTGATTTGAACAAAGATGCCTTAAGAAAAAGTATTGAAGATTGATGATGCTAAAAGATGAAAAATAAGATGTAAGGATATTTATAGAAGCCACATTGAGGGAAGTTCATACTTTGATTAGCATTTTGAGCACTAGTGTGATGTAAAATATATTGCTTAGGGATGAGGGGCATCATGAAGAAAGACAACCAAAAGTCAGCTGTGAGGGAACCCTGCCTACTGCCTGCTGGGTTACATCCTCCACTTGAGATAGGCCGCTCTTGAACTCACCAATTTCTTGTCATCACTGAGAAACTGCATGAGTTGCTGTTAATTTCTGGTCTCCTTCCCATCTGCAGTGATGTGTGACTAGTGTGCTAGAGCAAAGACCCAACATCTCTGGGATGAGAAGGGAAGGAACTAGATTCTGTTCCACACGAGTTGAGGCTCTTATTTTCTCTGTATCCAATTCTGTAGACCCACTGTGTTCACTCTTCATGTTGAATACATTTACTAAGAACCTAATGTGTAGCTGTTGTTATACATTCATGTATACCTCAATGCTTTCTCTAAGCAGTAGTTGCTTATAGCCTATATATTTAAGGGAACTGAAGCTCAGCAAAATGAAGATGCCTTTCACATGATCACAAGAACTATTGAAGTAGAACTAGGAATAAAACCTTCTCCTTTTCATACATCATGATAAATTTTCTTGATGGACTAATTCTTCTTCTGTGAGGGTACAACTGAAAATTCTAGAGGCTTCTCTAGGTGATATCTTTATTGATTATGTGTATTTATATTGTTCGTACTCTGCATTTACTATACTTAAGCACTATGTAATCTTAGCATCCTTAAATGTCCAAAAATGGCTGATGGCTGATGTGATAATTGCAAGAAAATCCTAAACACTAGGAGTAGCTATTCTTTGCTCTTCAGATTACAAGTCACTGGCAAGGACAAAGAAAACAGCTGTGCAGTCATCTCACAGACAGAAGTATTTTCTGACACCTGTTCTGCAGACAACCGTTGGATCTGCCAAAAGGAGCACCGGACAGAAATCTCAAGGTCCAAATCAGGAGCAGAAGGAGACGGAGCACGAGCAAGGAACTCAGGACCACGAGGGGTGCACCCACACACTAAGACAATGGGGATGTTCTATTGGGATCTCACCAAGGCCAGCTGGCCTAGATCTGAAAAAGCATGGGATAAATCCGGACTAGCTGAACATAGCGGACAATGAGGAATACTGAGAATTCAAGAACAATTGCAGTGGGTTTTTGATCCTACTGCACGTACTGGCTTTGTGGGAGCCTAGGCAGTTTGAATGCTCACCTTACGAGACCTGGATAGAGGTGGGCAGTCCTTGGGCTTCCCACAGGTCAGGGAACCCTGATTGCTCTTCGAGCAGATGAGGGGGGGGGACTTGATCGGGGGAGGGGGAGGGAAATGGGAAGCGGTTGTGGGGACGAGGCAGAAATCCTTAATAAATAAATAAATTAAAAAATAAAAAAAAAAAGAAAGAAACTGAAACATGTCTGAAACCCCATGTCCTGACTCCTGATTGTGAATGTCATCCCTATTCTTTTACCCTTTACACTGGATCTCTGCATTGAACTGTCAATGCTGCCAGCTTTCCCAGTGCAGTTGGTGGCACAAAGCATGAACTACAAAATTCATACAGATGCTGACTTCCACTTTCTTTGTTCCTTGAATGCAAATGCACACAGACACAGATGTGTTATTCTAAGACAAGTGTTTTATAGATGGAAGCCCCGGCCATCGGGGCACTGGAGTCCTTGTGAGGCCTTTGTTGATCTCTGTGCATGGGGTCATCTGCAGACAGGTTCAGAAAACTTTACGAAGTCTTAATCTCAACTGGACTCCCACCCTAAGCCACTTCACATATGGACTATAGAACCTTGATTAAAGTCTTTACTCTTGACCCTGACACCAGAAACCCAGAGTTGGAAATGGAAGAGTGTTTTATTGACATCTCTGAAATTAATAATGGACTAATGCTGTGATAATGAGAGTGACTCCAGGCAAAGGAGCTTTGTCAACATGAGCCTTCCCACACTGCAGTCATTCAGCTGCAGATCCTGGAGAATTGGTGGCTCCTTGGAGCTGGGCTTGTCAGTCCCTAGAGTTGTGAGAAAAGGGCACTTCTCCAGTTTTTTATTATGGTAACAAAAATGGACTAGGATAAGGCCTGAACTCTGCCCACTGCTGCACAGGTCTTCCCATGTTAATTTTCTCATTACTTCTTTCTTCCATACTTGTCTATATCTTATGGCTCATTCATAAGCTGTAGGAAGCATGCCACTAAGTACTCGAGTATTTTAGTAAAAAATAAATGTCATATTTTTCAATTCCTCAGTTAAGAAACTAAAAAAAATAAGTATTTATTCTGGTAAATCTCTTATATATCAACTTTTATTAAAATACATGGCAAATTTTCAGTAGTAATCAAAAGAAGAATAAAATGTTTTTACTGTACAAGGAGGCACAATAAAATTTATTTTAAAATATACATCTACATGCTCTAGTCACTCACTGTTCAATTTAATAACTTAAATTGAAGTTCTCTGCTATGGTCAGAGAAAAATTTCAATTGAAACATATTTTAAATAAAAAAATATTATTTTATGTGAGTGGGTGTTCTGCTGCACATGTATCTTTGTACTATATTCATACAATTCCTGTGGAAGTCAGAAGGGGGCATTGAGTTCCCTGGGACTTGAGTTTTAGATTGTTGAAAGCTACAATGTGTGTTCTGGGATCAAATCTGGGTCATCTGAAAGGTCAGGCAATACTCCTAACCATGAAAACATTTCAAAACCTCAATATTCTTACTTGTTTTTTAAAAAAGTATTTACATTGTTGTTGATTATAATTTTCCAATGAATCAAACGTCAAAGGATAATATTTTTGTGAAAATTTTTAGAAAAAAATTCTCTAGGAAAAACTTTCAGGGAAAGCATCATTAGAAAGCAATGATTAGGCTGGGAGGTGGTGGTACACACCTTTAATCCCAGCACTTGGGAGGCAGAGGTGGGTGGATCTCTGTGAGTTCAAGGCCAGCCTGGTCTACAAGAGCTAGTTCCAGGACAGGCTCCAAAGCTACACAGAAACCCTGTCTTGAAAAACCAAACCAAACCAAACCAAAATCAATGGTTAACATCAGTGAAGTTTTAGAAATGTCCTATAACTATTAAGAACATGCAGCTAAGCATATGTTTGCATGAGGAAGGCAGAGTCATGCACCCCCCCACCTTTTTCTAGTTAGGTACATCCTAACCAGGAAGGCAATCATGAGGACTATGGCCATATCATAGTTGCTGGGTCTCTTGATGGTTGCAATGCTCCTTTTTGGTTAGATACCCTTGAAGACACAGGAGGTCTCTTCCTGCTATGTAAGAAACTAAGGCACCAGGGGACTTTCCCAATGACCATACATGTCACCAATGAGTATGCTGATGTACAGGAAAGGTAATACTGAGGGGATTTCTTGGCCCTGGAACGATTTCCTTAACATGGGAGAGAGAAAATTCCTAAGAGAAGAATTAACAATAACATTGTAGAGTTGGACCCATAAGAAATTTCTGTAAATTCCACAATGCAGAGCCCTGTGACCTACCACCCACTTTCAGGCCTGCCTCTTCCAATCCTGTTTTGGAGCATACATTCACGTTGAGTTACTTTGCTTCGTTAAATAAACTTTTGCTCAAATTATGTCTTTGGTGAATTCTTTCTTTGAGAAGACAAGAATAAAGGAGAAACTGTTACTTGCTAAAATGACACTATCAGAACAAAAATTAAAGGGTAATAGTCCTATAATTGACAATGTGTACACTGCCTTAACAAAATGCCTTAAGACCTCCCAAGATCAAATTCTTGGATAAAGCCCTTATGCTGACCCACTGGTTTAAGCTCTTTACAATGAACACATCTTATCTCTATGCCACAAAGCAGCCTTAAATGCTTGGAACAGGATTCAAGGACTAAGAGATATATTTGAATCATATACCATGGTTAAAAATGGCCAGAGAGAACCCTTTACTAACATTTTACAAAGATTAACTAAGGCAGTACAAATAGGAGTAGCAGACCCAGGTGCTAGCAAGTACTTATAAAATCTCTGCCAGGTGGTGGTGGCGCACGCCTGTAATCCCAGCACTCGGGAGGCAGAGGCAGGCTGATCTCTGTGAGTTCAAGACCAGCCTGGTCTACAAATTGAGTTCCAGGACAGGCTCCAAAGCTACAGAGAAACCCTGTCTCGAAAAAACCAAAAAAATAAATAAATGAATAAAATAAAATAAGTAAATAAAATCTCTGGCTTTTGAAAATGCCAATTTAGAATAAAAAAAGATACTTCATGCTTTAAAGGTTATATCAGCACCTATGGATGAATGAATCCTTCATAAAATGAACATTGAGTCATATGACTATAACACTAAATCCTGGGTAGGACAAGCAATTTCCAAAAATGAGGAGACATCAAAATGCCAAATGTTTTAATTGTGGTAGAACATCTGAGAAGGGATTGTAGACAAGAAATTTCTAGGAATAATATCTCCTCTGGGAGTTGCAAAAATAGGAGGAGTCAACCTTCAGGTATATGTAGAAGGTGTAGCAAAGGCTAACAACGGGCTAATGAAGACAGATCAACAAAAGACAGACAAGGCAACCTGATATAAACAGAAAACTCCTTGAGGGGCCTTTCACAGGCCTCAAAGCCAAAAGTGGCCCAGTTATTCCCAGTAACTGTGGAGGACTTGTCTCATCAGGAAAATTAAAAAAATTCAGAACCTTCTTTAAAAAGCCATACTGTTCTAGATGATGGCATTAACATGGATAATAAGTCAAAATTTCCAATAGGAAATAGGAAACATATATTCTGGCCTACTTCTATAAATGATCAAAGACCAAAGCTAAGTGCATATAAATGACATCATAATTATTAGTTTGATAGAAACAGGTGTGGATGTGAGTATCATTTCTCTAGAATCTTGGCATCAAATTTGCCTCTTCAAGAGGCAAATGTTCAGTTACTAGAAATTGGAACCATATCTGAATTTAAAAATGCATGAGATGGGTTGACTATATTGGGCCAGAAGGTCAAAGATAGGAGCTGAGGACAAATGTGACTAACATTGCAGTACATTTATGGGGTCATGACCTATTACAGCAATGGGATGCCCAGATTAACATTCCTGCAGTTCCAGGAACTCAAAATTCTGGGAAGAATATTATAAGGTATTATACACAAAGGTCACTAGCCAATCAGGCTGTACAAGAACATAATGCAACTAGCAAACCTTTAGAGGTACCAACAGCCCTACCTTTAAAATGGTTAACTGAGAAGCTTATAAGGGTTAAGCAGTGGCCTCTAGCTGAAGATAAGTTTCAGGCTTTAGAATAGCTTGTACAAGAGCAATTAGATGCTTACCACATTGAAGAATCAACCAGTCCTTGGAATTCTCCTGTATTTGTTGTAGGAAAGAAATCTGGTAAATATAAGAACTGTCAATAAGGTAATTCAACCTATGGGCCCTCTACAATCTGTAATTCCTTTGCCTTCTCTATTACCAAAAGGAGAGCCTCTTATAGTTATTGATTTGAAAGATTGTTTCTTCACTATATCTTTACAAGAGAAGAATAGAAAAAAATTTGCCTTCATATTGCCTACCTATAATAGTTCTCAGCCTACTAGGATATATCAATGACCATCCTCTCACAGGGAATGCCCAATAGCCTCACATTGTGATAATACTTTGTAAGTCAACCATTGGCAATAATTCGTAAACAGTTTCCTAAGTCTATAATTTACCATTACGTGGATGACATTTTGCTATCTGATTCAAACATGGATACTTTAAAAAGAATGTTCAAAGAAGTAAAGAAAGTTTTGCCAAAATAGGGACTACAAATTGCTCCTAAAAAAATACAGGGAGGAAATTCTGTCAATTACTTAGGTTATAAAATAGGTTTGCAGAAAATTAGGACACAAAAGGCACAAATTAGAAGAGACTGGTTAATATAATAAAGGGTTGATGATGATAT